CCGACCAATGCCGATGTGAGCAAGAGTGAGTTGTGCCTCAGTCGTCCACGCCGGATCATCATCACCACACAGATGTTAGCTTTATGACCGTCATGAATCGTGTGGTTGGGAGGTTGGGGTCCCGGCCGACGCGGTTGTATATGAAGGAATGTCCAGAGGGCGACGATGTGGCTGTAAGTTCACAGCAGTAGTTTGCTTGAACACCCTCACATACGACTCGTGTGTAAACTCTATTGATATTCGAGGAAACTTCTAAGCTCGTATGATACGGATTCGGGTAGAAGTGTAGAAAAAGCAATGAGAATTCACCAAAATTTCATCAGAAATCTCACAGTTGACCACATGCATATCCTCCGACATTGAGACGCTGTATTTATGCATAAGGCGACGCTTATTCTCCGAAAACCTCGTTGGAGAGTGGTAGGGGGAAAATATGCGAAATTATGAGCTTTGAGAAATTCTCGTTCGTTTCTGCACACATCTATTGCCGAATTTGTATGGAGATCTCTAGGGCTTAGCTGAGGAGAGCGAGCATATGTTCTTTCAACACTGTCGTTGTTCATGGAAGCTCGTCGTCCCCAGGTCTGTTGGAGCCAACGCTTGGAGTCGTGGGTGGTCCATAGTCGGAACCTGTCGCTAGTCGTTAAGGATGCTGAGGATCTCTCTAAGTAGGCCGCAACACTGTGTGGGCTTCTGATTATCGTTATCAGATACTCTGGTCGAAAGCGCGATATAGCGGCGGCATGGCTTGAACAACTAACTGGGAAGAACCTCACCTTGGTGGGTTCGTTCATGGGGATCTAGGAAGGCGCGGGTTGCTGATATGCTCCTCAGCTGATAAATTGATATTTTATTTTAACTCCCAGTGTTGGAGGGATATATGTTGGTTTTCTCAGCAGAGTGTTAAGAGATTCATAACTGAGTCGGGTAGAAGTGCACAGAAACCAATAAGAATTTTCCTAAAATTCCTCAGAATTTTCATATTGTTGACCATGTGCCTTCTGGTGGAATTCATCAGCCTGGATTTACCTCAGCTTTAGAGCTTGGTCAGGCGTGCGGGAGGAGTTATTTGGTCTTCATCATCTCAGTTAAGACAGCTGCTAGGAGGGTGCACACTATTTGGCTCTTGTTACCAACCCAACCGCGGAATGGAGCCTCTATCACAGTGTCAGCCTGAGTCGGGCTCGTTCACTTGGTGAGATAGCTGTTCATTCAGCACTAGAGGGTAGATTGTCCGTAGGTACGGCCTTACTGTTAATACTGTCGCTCCGGCATGCCCGTGTGTCGATCCGAAGAGAGCATTGCGGCTTATGCGCCTTTGTGGTTTACTCGAGGGAAACGGCATTGAGGTGGGTGGTGGGAAGGACCGCTGAGGAGGGGATGATTTCATCGAAATTGTTGCATGATCTTAGCGCGAGGGAGATTATCGATAGTGGGACCCTCGTGAATGCTCTACGAGAAATCTACTTCTCTGGCGTTCCGA